AGTGGTCATATTAACTATACTAACCAAACCAAATTAACGTAATAAAATCCGAAGACACAAGACAAAGCCAAATATAACAAACTTTAAATGTCGTAACTAAACTAATATTACATAGTTACTCCATATTAACACTAATAAGAATAGTGTGGTGGTGTAGTGTTGCAATTAATGTATTTATCACACTCAAACCACTTTTATAAATATCTGATTGGAGACAGGTAGAATTTCCCTGTCTATGAAATCTAAACTACATGCACACACATTATACCCACCAGGAATAGGTTTTTGTAACGGACAGTAATAACAAACTTTCCCAATGTTTAACTCGATTTCAATTTGATTATCTCAATACTTGGTCGATTTTACTTAACTTTCATTAATTTTTTGTGTCCGACAGATGGCGCATTGACTGAGGATCGTGACGTAGAGAAGTGTGGTAGTGAACGGTAATATTTTTTTATTTGTTATGTGTGTGTGGACGTGTGAGCTTGCGATGTGTATTTTATATATTTATCAATAATTTTTATAAGGTATTGGGGAGTCAGCTGTGAGAGGGAGGTGAGGGGGCACGCGGAGGTCGGTGAAGCCAGACGTGAGAATATGTCTAACATCGTATTAGAAGTAAATTACACCCCGTAAGGAAGACAATATACAGAGAGAGAAAAACACACTACACTCAATAACATAAAAATGGTGAACCTGCAGGAAAGGAGATATGTTTAGCAAATGAATAATACAAACAAAGATGATAAAGATGGGAATGAATATTAGTTATGTACTGGACAGGTGGTTGTTGTACTAGCAGGGTACAGTACATGTAGACTGGTGACCATAAAGGAAGAAAATGCTACAATTAGGGAATTTATGGGAACTAACATGTGCTGTAGGTAGTGTGAAGAGGAAAATGGGAGAGGTTAACAGTATAGCAGAAACAGGATGAACTGATACAAAGATTTGGGAAAGAAGTAAAACAAATAGTTTATTAATGACAAAATATAAACAGACGAATTTTGAAATTGGCTTAATATTCAATGAAACTTTCCATCTTTTACGGTATAAACAACACTGAATGAATAAGTATTGCATCTCTTATACTATTCACTAGTTGTAAAAAAAAAATACTTAATGGCAGAGAATTTAGTAATATACGAGAAGTGATACTTGCTACAGGATATGCGGTTTCTCTATGAAGGATCAGAGAATAGTTACATAAGAGAATTTTGATCCTCTGGTCGGATAAATCACCCATGATCAATACAGTATACGGTGTTGAGGAAGACCGTCCATCGTGCAAAGCTCAGTCTTGACGGCGACGGACAACACGCACCACCTGTGAGGGGCTGGTGTTGGAGGTAACCTGAAGAGTCTTTGCACCGCGCTACTTCACCGTCTCTGGCGGTGGCCCCTTCACATATTCTGCAGGAAGGTGGTCTAATGCTCCACTCTGATACGAGTTAAAGTAATGCACCGAAGTAGTTTAGTACCACGTGATCATATCTTTTTTGCTAAGCGTACGTTTCAGATTCAGATTTGCTCACTACATTGCGGGGATAGTTTACTGGTCACCCCCATACATTGTGATGGCTCGAAATGCTGCCTTCAATGTATCCACTGACAATACCGTCGACAGACAGTACAAGTGAACACTGAACCAGAAATGCAGCGTGGCATTAAGTGATCTTTTCAATAATTTACTTCTCACCTCTAATTTAGTATCTAGTAACCAATCTTGATTAGATGTTCTTGTTCTTCATAAAATCACCCTTAATGTCTTTATTAATTCAATATTCATGCAATTCTTTTGTTTTATTTTTCATTGGGGTCACCTACGTCTGTTTAGATCATGTGTACTTTTGTGTGAGTTATTTTACACATAAACACAAACATATAACTCAACCATAGATGAGGTTTAGGAGAAGTCTCACAATTGCATCTAAATTCCCCAGGATTCACTATGTAGAGCAAATCGGCTATTTTGTAGTGTCTTTTATACAAATATGATATTTTACGATACTTTTTCTGGGCAAAGATTCAGCAGCTACAGTCCTAAATATTTTTCAGGAGTTAATCTTGTGTGTGTGTGATGAAGGAGATGACGTCACTGGTGGTGATCGCCTGTGCATTGGTCACGCTGAGGGTGTGGGCACTGTCAGGTATGTATGGTGCAGTGTGTGTGTGTGTGTGTGTGTGTTAATAAGGGGCACTGAGGCACCTGACCTCCACGTCCACAGAATTTGCTCCCCCCCCCTCACTGCCTTACCCCCTCCCACGGTACTTGTCCGCCCTTCCCCCGCACCTGACCCTCCCGCCATGTACGAATTCTATAAGAACATAACATAAGAACATAAGAATGAAGGAAACTGCAGCGGGCCTATTCACTCATACTGGGCAGTCCCGTTTACACCCAATCCCTATCGCACCTATATCCACTCAACCTATGTTTGAAGCTATCCAGCGTATTCGAGTTAATGATGATATTTGATAACTTGTTCCACTCATCCATTACTCTATTTCCAAACCAATTTTTACCTATTTCGCGCCTAAATCTAAATTTGTCTAATTTAAAACCATTGCTACGAGTTCGTTCCTGGTTGGATAATTTAAGTACCTTTGTTAAATTCATCTTTGTTTAGCCCTGACTTCCATTTATACACCTCGATCATATCGCCCCTCACTCTACGTATCTGTCTTTCTTCACTAAAATCTCTCTCTCTCTCTCTCTCTCTCTCTCTCTCTCTCTCTCTCTCATTAAGTTGTCTCTCATAAACTGAGCTGAAGAGTCTTTCTCTCTCATTAGTCTTTTTTTCCAATTGAGGTTATCTCTCTTTTACTAACTGAAAATTTTCGTTACCTGAGTTACCATCCATCCGTAAATTAAATTGTCTCTTCCTGACTAACTGAGTTGTGTCTCTGACTGATATCTCTCTCTCTCTTGTTAATTATTTCTTCTCTCTAACTAACTACTTGTCTTACTGTGTCTCCCTTCAGTTGGGTCAGGAGAACTGAGGGTGGTCAGGCTACAGAAGATGGACACAGCCTCCAACAACACCTACCTGGACAGTGGCGAGGGAGCTCTGCCTGACCTCTCCCAGGTAAAGTACTAACAGTACTAACTTTTAACGACGGGGTTACATTACTGAAAACCAAACGTTAAGGTAAATTATCGCGAAGCGAGGAATAACACAGATAATTATTCTTTGGGAATTTTTTCACCTAAATACACTGTATTTGCTATAATAATAATAATAACAATAATAGTAATAATAATAATAATAATAATAATAATAATAATAATAATAATAATAATAGTAATAAATTACAGGGCACTACAGTAAAGTAACACTCACCAAGTCGCCGTATAATGTTATTCACCTCCAAAATTTTATATTGCTTAACCCAATTGTCGTTAAGTGAATTAAGGGTAAGTGATGGATGCCGTTCACTACATGTAATGCTTCTATTACTATTGTTATTGTTGTTATTATCATTATTATTACCATTATTATTGATGATATTATTAAATTGTAACCACACCGAACATATGTGGACCCAGATCTTTTTTTTTAGATTGCCCCGGAGGGAGCTAGTTTATTGAGCACCCCCTTACATCTTGTGCAAGGTGAAGTGCAGAAGCGTTTACAGTGCCCATCTGGGAAGCATGCTAAGTTCATGCTTGCCCTTATGACTTATGCATTAAGGGCGTAAAAGCCTGAAGGGTCATAGGTTTTGTCAGCAAGTTACATAAAGTGACAGAATGATGAGTGTGTGGGGGAAAGTTCCCGGTACATTTCATCTGTTTATAGCAAAGCGTGGCAGGTCCCTAATAATGTCAAGTGCCAGGCCTGTCACTAGGAGGAGGGATATCTGGTCAGGGAGGGAAGAGGTGTTGGTAACGGCTAGGGACCTGTAGGAGGAGGTCATAGGACAAGTGAGGATGTAGTGAGGGAGAGTGTGAGAGTCGGGTTGACCATAAAGTTTACAAACAGTGCGGCCAGGCTCAGGGTTGCCAATGTACTCCCATAGGTACCTGTACCCTAGGCACAGTCTCATGTACATAATCTGTTGAGATCTAGTCAGAGATTGATACTCTTTGTAGTGGCGGTTGTCGTCACCGGTTACAGCGTCATAGTGGCATAGTGTGACGCTACCCCGTTGTTTCAGGTGTATCCAATTTTCGTCGAATGCTTCTCGTTGTGTGGCGTGTATGCAAGATTTGAGATGATTCAGGGAGAGGGCGAGGGTGGCTTCAATATCTTCTTCTTGTGTCGCTTCTTTGGCAAGTCGATCAACAGTGTCACAGGCAGTTATTCCTATGTGTGACGGGATCCAATTAAACTTGACCAGATCCTGTGTGACTGACTAATTCTTTATGACCCCAGAGAGCTTTGTTTGACCCACTCATTGTACAGTCTTATAAAACTGTTTAACCCAGCCGTTATACAGCCTCAAGAGACCCCTATGTAGCTCCGAGACCTCAGCTTGACCCCAGTGACTCAGGTGACTCGAGTGATCCTCGTTTGACTCACGTGTCTGATCCCAGTTCGTTTACCTCACAGTGGAGTGTGTGTCTGCGGGTGCGGCTGTTTCACCTGGCTCGCCTCAACACCTTGTTCAGCTACACCACCGGAGAACACTACCAGGAGATTATGCTGGGTTAGTACACTCCAACTTCCTGCAGTAAAGTACACCCCACCTAATGTGACGTCATTATCCTCCCTAAAGTGTCAGACACTCTTTTAATAAGATTTTGAAAAGCTGCTTGTGTACATCACGACTTTTTGCCGTGAAAATATGAGATATAACATTAACGTCTGATCTCACGTGGCAAAGTAATCTTCCACTGGATTTGTGGTTTAACTCTTACACACACTAGAACTGCTGAACAAATCTTCACAGCTAAGTGTATATATATATATATATTTATAAGAGCAAAATACAAAGCTTAAAAAAAAATATTCCAATGAGTGTCTCTTCCCTGTAATATCATTTGATTGGTTGGTGAAATGTATATAGTTCGTGTTACTTTATGTAAAATGTAGAAGTGAGAAACAGAAAACTTTCACAGGTGTTGTGTTGCAGGTATCGACTGGCCTCAATCAGCATTACGACTCGAGTGTTGTAAATACCAAGGCTTTATGGAGATGAAGGTACCTCTGCGCCTCTACACCTGGCATCACCTGTGTGTCTCAGCTGACATGACCAAAGACACCCAGTACATGATCTTCGACGGTGTGGTTAGTGTTGTTGTGGTGTGGTACGTTTGGTAATCATAGAGACGTAGTGTGGTGGTGTGGTGGATACGGACAAAACAAATGAATGACGAGTAGTAACAGGATAATTGGCTTTAGTTAAATTATCCCGTGCGAAAGTTGAGGGTATTTTTACGTACATGCATTTATAATAAGGAACTCACCGTGAAGATAATCGACAAGGAACTCAATAAATAAATATAATGTACACAAAGGCGTTAATAGTACTAATAGAACATAATTGTAGGTACGATACTGTATAACTCCCCCCCCCACAGGTATGAAGCATTATGGAAATTGCACTCAGCTAGTCTAATAATAATGTCTCATTTGTTGTTCGACCAGCAAATAGTTTCATCGTCATTACCTTTACATTTTCTGTTTTTCAGGAGAGAGATACAAGCATTTACTGTTGCACTTTCATTAATTTCTTTTTCATTAGGTGCACGAGGCGTTAATTCGTCGCCCAAGCGTCACACGTGAAAAGCTGACCAAGGTGAGAGGGGGTGGGAGGTTCCTGCTGGGACAAAACTACAACCCAGCATCTGATCTCCTCTTCAGTGAGGCCATGCACGGTGACCTGGCAGACTTCAGGTTCTACGATGTTGCTCTACCTACTGAACACCTGAGAGACTATGTTGCATGCATGCCCAGAGGCGACTTGGTCTCCCCACTATACTATTTTGATACCAACATGACGAACCTGCAATTAAGTGGTGATATTAAACTCGATGATATAAGCCTGGACGACCTCTGCTCCTCGTCTCCAGATCTGGTTATGATCTTGCCTGAGAAAATTACCTTTGACCAATCAGTGACCATGTGCAGCTATTTTACTGGGGGCGTCGCTGTCCCCACCGGTGAAGAGGAGAACGCTGCCATATATGATAAGTTTGAAGATTTTAACAACTATTGTGCAAACAGTTGGGGCACGACGTTCTGGTATGGACTGAGGGCTAATTTATCAAGTGGATGGTGGATTAAAATATCAGACGGAAAACCTCTAACTTGGGACAAATTTATCGTGTCGTGGGCCAACCCAACAGAAGAGTACAGGTGCGTTAGTGCAGCTGCCATTAACGTCAAGCACCTATGGGCTGCATCGCCGTGTGACATCCGCCAGTGCCCAATATGCAACTTCACAACGACGCCCAAACTGCACTTACGTGGGCTCTGCAAGCTGTCGAAATTTGACCGTTACTTCTCTCCGCATGACTATTACAGCTGGAAGCCAGTGTTTGAGGGTTTCTTCTTGAGCAGAATTATTTGGGAAAACGACACGTGGGTAATCAAGAGCCGCCTGGAGAAGAAGGTGAAGGCGTTAATGGCCATTAAGAAGCTTGGAGACTACCCATTCGGCCTCAACACCTGGGAGGTGCGAGATGATACTTGTGCTCAGAAACAGGTATGTTAGAATTACCTTCTTTATACTATTTATCTGCAGGTTATTTACCTAAAATATGTAACTGTTATCTAGATAATAATGTCCAGTGTTATTGTAATTCTTCATATTTTAGGAAATCCTAACTAATGCCATTTCTTAGTATTACCTTTCCTCTACTAGAAAAATAACAAATAGAAGAATGACACAGTGCTGATCTAATCTAGGGTAGACGTAAATCCCGTATTTAATCGACTTATGTCAACATTTTAATAAATTAATGCATCATGATTTATGTGAACCTTCCTTACAGTTTCGTACTTCATCCAGTCGGTATTTCCGACTATTAAAAGTTGCCAATGTACAAGCTTTTGTTCTGTACAGTATTTTGTTTTCACTATTTTGTCAGTTAAGACACATTTTGTACTTGAGAAAAAAGTGGCGCTTTTCTCTATTAATGTAGAAATGTTTTAATTTAAATTTTCATTAATTTCAACTCGGCCTCATAAGCTTCATCTCAATAAATGTTGATTATATAAGGTGTACTCTCTCTCTCCCTCTCGCTCTCTCTCTCTCTGTTTTCGGGGTAACATTACCAAGGTATCAGAATTTCAATCTACAACCAAATATACGCGTGTGGTGTATACCGTTGGACTGACCTACTGTACGTCTATACACTTACAGGTACAACTGCTGTTTACATCATGCGGTCGGGATGACTTTACCTGTAGTGACGGTACTTGTATCAACAAGACTAAGCGCTGTGACCAACAGGTGGACTGTCCTGATAACACAGATGAACTCAACTGTGAGGTCATCACCTTCCCTGAAGGATATTCCCCAGAACTTGCTCCACCTGCAGTAAATGCACCGCTCATGACTCTTCAGGTTTCTCTCGAAATTACATCAATCAGAAATTTTGACTTAGTTGGATTTAATTTAGCGATTGATATAATTCAGAACATCAAATGGAAAGATGCGAGGCTCATCTTAAGGAATCTTCGGCCAGGAGGTTTTATCAACGTGGCTAAGGTAATTTTTTTTTACAAGGTTCGGTGACTTTCTGGTGGGAACCAAATTAGAATAAAGTAGAATTTGCCGGTTACACTTTACATTCCTATAATGAGATTCGAGCATTAATTATCACATAAGCAAGCAGGTTCAAGGACATGTGTCATGAAGTAACCACAGGAGTAAATGTTTTTTATTTGTGAAGTGTAACATACAACAAAAACAGTAAGAGTCAGTGGGGAGACTAAATCACAATCTCCTCAATATTATATTACAGAAATAGCAAAATTGTTCAACTGAGTTTTGTGGTACATGTTACAGTTGAACGAGAGGCTATGGGAGCCGGAAATCCTGGTGAGTGACGGATCAAACAGCCCCACCGACATACATATGAGGGGGGTGAAGTTAGTGGTGAAGCGGGACTCCGAGCCACTCCCAGACAACGACGTCCACTATTCTGAAGGTACGCCCCTCCTCCCCTCATCGACGATTTTTTTTCTGCTAGTTTTTGTGCACACAATATATAGCCAGGCAAAGGTACTCGCTAAAAGATTATTCTGCACCTTTACGGGGTTATACAACATGACACACCGGACCAAAAAATCTGATAACACTCATCATGGCTTCTGTCGCAGTGATCGTTGCTGGTGGTTTCAGAGCCAAGGGTGCAGAATATATTACTGTCGGACCCAACTCTTTTCCTTTCTTGTCAATCTTAACTCCCTTTTCAGTGCTATCTGGTAATCAGGAACAGCTAGGTGTGCTTCCCCAATTCCCAGTTGTGCCAATAGCATTTCTTGTACCAAAATTGATTAGTAATAGCGGGCATATGACGTACATTATAGTATCTCTCTCACTGTAATCCCCTGATGTGTGTCTGTCAACCCACCTCACATAGAGCATAACAACACAGCTCAAGATTGATGACGCCAGGAGGTGTGGCTTGAGGAGGCTTACAAAGACGCTTTTATCTTTTCTTTTCTTTTATCCTCTTCACCACTGATCGACTCTTTAGCTGCTTGGGCGGTCGGTCACGTCTCTGTTACGCACTGCCCGCAATTTACTGGGCATGTACTGGCTCCTGAATGTATCTGTACCTGCGCCAGTGTTGGTTAAGTTTGGTCTTGAAAAAGCTCACACTCGGTGACGTCACAACACTCTGGCAGATTGTTCCTAAAGTTTACAATTCTCACCCGGAAGAAGTTTGTCCTCAGAGTTTTCTTGTGGCTTCTTCAACCTTGATCTGGGACCCCTTGTAGGGCGGGCGTCCGCCAGCTCCAGTATGGACACTCGACTGAATAGTGCCTTCTGAGGTGTTTATAAACTTCAATAAGATCATCCTTGTCCGTCTATAATTAAATACAAGCTAGACAGCTGCAAGTGTTCTAATTTCCCTGGGTAACTGAGGTGCCGTAGTCCAGGCACCAGTCTGGTGGCCCTCCTTTGGACATTTTCAATCAACTGACAGTCCCTAGCATATCTCGGGGACCAAGTTTAGTTGCTTGATCCACCTTCTCACAATGGCCCCCAGGAACTTCAATTCGTTGTCAACATACACACCCAGGTCCTTTTCACATTCGGTCTCTACTGATGCTGTTTCTTCGTCCCGTTGGGACAAGTGATACGCCTCCTTACTGTTGGTATGACCCAGGTGCATCCTCTTACATTTCGAGACATTGAATCTTATATTTAGCTAGATTATAGTACACACACACACACACACACACACACACACACACACACACACTAACGTATGCCACCAGCCTGGTCGTCTTCTCTCAACTCCACCCAACAACGTCAGCTAGAGAAGGTACAGAAAAGGGCCTGCAGAATCATACTCGGCGTAGAATACTCCAGCTACACCAACGCTCTCTCCACCCTGGAAATGCCATCCCTCAGTGACCTCCGCCACCAAGCACTGGAAAGGTTTGGCAGTGGACTACTGCACCACCCTCGTCACCACCTCCTGCCACCTACAGCCCCCCACCCAACTCGCGCAGTCCGCCACTACAACAAAATTCAGCCCATAAGAGCCTGCACCGATAGATATAAGAACAGCACCATCCCATCTATTGTTAAAATAATAAACAACTCCTGATATATGTACTGTACAGCCCTGTAAATGTATTCAATGCATATTATATCATTATGTCTAAATCAAATGTAAGTCTGTATATTTTCAGCCACCGGCTGCAACTCTATTAATAAACCATTTATTATTATTATTATTATTATTATTACACACACACACACACGCGCGCGTGCTCACTGATAATTCCATTATATTTTACTTTTTTCTTACTTTTCGGGTGTTGCGACTTGTTGGGTGAACCAGACGAGCTGTACAGTGGCGCCGGGAACTGGGTGATGTTGGTGCACCAGTACACAGTGACAGCCATGTGTCAGTTCCAGCTCCAGGCCTACCCCTTCGACACCCAGATGTGTTCTCTCATGTTCTCCGTCCCTGACCAGTCTGTGGGCAACATCCTCCTCCTACAGGTAGATACTGGTCAAGTTGCAGAATTCTTCCTTTCATATTTTTTCCAAGTCAGTGTTTGCCAAACCTACCCATACGTTTAATGCCAAAGATATGAAAAGAACTGTAATGTGATTAATATTATTAATGAGAAGGTAAAGGTTGTCTTAATAAAACATAAACTAACAACATATTTTTATTTTGTCAACATTGACCAAACTGGAAGAAACAGCTTAAATATTCTTTCTACTGTAGATATTAAAACTGTAATGAACTAAAATTCTGGCCAAATACCACGTTTTCCGATATGTTTATTTTTACAACAATAGATATTTTACCTTTGCTTCATTCACAGCAAAAAAGAGTTCATGTGAAAGTGATAACACGTAAGTAGAAAATAATAGATACATTTTCATATAATTTTTAAACTTTTTCAGTACTTTTTGTCAATTTAGAAAAACTGCAGTAACTTCTCTCTCTTATGAAAAGTCTTAGTGATTTGTTTTAATAGAGCATCGTCTGTCTTCCCTCGCTCTTGTCTTACGAGTTATTGAATATAACTTTGTATAGTAAGGCAGGTGTGTGGAAGGTCTTATGGGAGACAGGTGTGTGAGAAAATTATTGGATACATGCGTGTGGGAGAAGGTGTTATGGGAGACAGGTGTGTGGGAGATGGTGTTATACGGACAGGTGTGTGAGAGAAGGTGTTATGGGAGACAGTTGTGTGGAAGGTGTTATGGGAGACAGGTATATGATAGAAAGTGTTATTGGAGACATGCGTGTGGGAGAAGGTGTTATGGGAGACAGGTGTGTGGGAGATGGTGTTATACGGACAGGTGTGTGAGAGAAGGTGTTATGGGAGACAGTTGTGTGGAAGGTGTTATGGGAGACAGGTATATGATAGAAAGTGTTGTGGAACATGCGTGTGGGAGAAGGTGTTATGGGAGACAGGTGTGTGGGAGATGGTGTTATACGGACAGGTGTGTGAGAGAAGGTGTTATGGGAGACAGTTGTGTGGAAGGTGTTATGGGGACAGTGTGTGGGGAGATGGTGTTATATGGACAGGTGTGTGAGAGAAGGTGTTGGGGAGACAGGTGTGTGGGAGATGGTGTTATGGGAGACAGTTGTGTGGATACAGGTGGTGGACGGACAGGTGTGTGAGAAGGTGTTATGGGAGACAGGTGTGTGGGAGATGGTGTGTTATACGGACAGGTGTGTGAGAGAAGGTGTTATGGGGAGACAGGTGTGTGGTGTTATGGGAGACAGGTGTGTGGGAGATGGTGTTATACAGGACAGGTGTGTGGGAGAAGGTGTTATGGGAGACAGTTGTGTGGGAGAAGGTGTTATACGGACAGGTGTGTGAGAGAAGGTGTTATGGGAGACAGTTGTGTGGAAGGTGTTATGGGAGACAGGTGTGTGGGAGATGGTGTTATACGGACAGGTGTGTGGAAGGTGTTATGGGAGACAGGTGTGAGGAAGGTGTTATGGGAGACAGTTGTGTGGAAGCAGGTTTTGATGGGTGGCAGGTGTGAGGGGAGACAGGTGTAAGTCCATGTGTGTGGTACAGGAGGGGGTGTCGTTCTCGGGAGTAAGGAGACTATTGGAGTACCAACTAGTTAACGAGACACTCGCCATCTACGATCAAGAGTCATCCGCCCTGCAGGTAAGGCAATATCACCTTCACTGTATACACTTTTACAGACCCAACAAGTATAGGGTAGGAAGACCGATCTGGTGATAATATAAAGGTAAGGGGGGGGCTCGTTTTAGTGAAAGGTACGGGTATACTGTGCGTTTGGAAGCGAGGTTAATACACCGTTTACCAGATCTTTTGTCCTACCTTATCTTTGTTGGATCTTTGTGAGTTGGCTGACTGTACCATAACTGTAGTAAGATGTCCAGGGTTTGTACCATAAGTATGACACCTGGCTATGAAATCCTGACTTTAATTACAAAAAAAAAATAATAATCTACGCAGTTACCTCTCCAAGCCTGTGTCATTTATTTTGAAGAATATCAGTAACTTCTCATTAAATTTAAGATAGGTTTTACTTAGTATTTGTAGATATAGACGATGAAAATAATTAATTTGATCATTAGGCTCGACTACTTGCCATAACTCCTCATGGCGCCTGAGGAAAAATGAAAACGTCTAGAATCAATAACGATAATTTCTGCAGAGTTACACATTTCGGATTTATAAGAATTATACAGTATACATATTAGTTCACCTGTTAGTCCGTCTCTGTTATTATCTACCAAGTATTGACTATATTTATAACTGATGGATTAAGAGTTCAGGTCCTAGTTCTGCAAGATGATACTGATCTAATGATTTAGACTATGAACATGTGTGATCTTGTTACCTGCAGAGTGCTGCTCACCAACTGACACCAGGTAAAAAACGTGTGTAATTACTTGTAGTTTATAACTCCTCCTCTATACACAGTTACGTTTGGTGTTTAAGAACCAGTACGGTTATTACATCGGCAACGCTGTCATCCCCAGCCTACTCATGGCTTTCATCTGTTACCTCACCTTCTACTTCGACATGGAGGACTTCTCGGTAAGGCACGTCGTCATCTCTCCCTTAATGATAATATTTGTTATTAACTTTGCACGAATAAAAATCATGTGGAAGGAATGTGCAAGTTTCCCTGCACATGACACTGTGTTTCTTTCATTAATGAGAGGTCTTAACACCTACATACAGTCAGTGAACGTGAGGAACTATTATACTCTTCACTTTGTTGCAGGATCGCATCATGGTGTCCCTGACCTCACTGCTTGTCTTAGCTTCTCTCTTCACCCAGACCAGCCAATCCATCCCTAAGACCGCTTACCTCAAACTTATTGACATCTGGTACGTCACCCTCATCACCACAGACTTCTTCATCATAGTCATTCTGGTTATCATCGAGAACCAGCGCATGCGAGAAAAAACCCAAGGTGACTCTATTACAGCTGGCTCGAGAAACTTAACGAAGGTAATACCTGCAGAGTCCCGCACCCTCCCCACAGGAAGTAACGTGATGATTAATACGTTTACTCCCCAGAAACAAAGGACGAGTACAGCCAAGAGACTCAACAGAGCGTCTCAGGTGATGTTCCCGGTGGTGGCGAGTATTGGGTGTTTCGGGTGGATCTTCAACCACCTACAGGGTATCTCGTCCTCCCACACTGATTAATTCTCAGTTATTCATGTGAGTGAGTTGTCTAGTAAGGAATCTCAACTCTGTGTATACTCATGCCTAATATATAAGCAGGGTGGTTTAGATACAACCTACTGTAATTGTAACAACATATGTAGATAAAAACAATAAACAGATTAAACTAAATTCATAGGAATACTGCATTCACCTGGCAGTTCTGCCTTAACATACAGCAGCCCCATGTACTTTAGGCTATGAAAGGAATCGCAATTCATTGCCGCAGACGTCTATGTTGGTGCTTTATCTGTGCCGAAATGAACCGCAACGGCGTTCCGGCACTTTTATTTTTCATGAGTAAATTGTAAATATAATCACAGAGCTATCAATAAATACTACCATCAGTCCTATGTATATAATTTCTTCACAATGTGTCCCGACAGGCATTGGCAATAGAAGTGCCTTGCCTGTTCCGTAGGCTTTGTCGGCTGCTTCACAGATTCCATCTCTGCCTCACTAGACTTCCACCACTTCTTATTTTACAAATTAAGCACTGGTCTGTGTTTTAATTACATAATGTCTGAGACTTTTTTTTAAAGTCTCATTGCTCTTTTTCCATATTATGACCCCACAAGTCAGTTCCTTTTTAACAATCACCAGGGAGACGTAATTTAGGTGTGCTCGGAGGCAAGAAAGCTATGGTCAGTCTCAGTGGATATCCTCTAAACTCAACCTTCAAGCGATTTCTAATACTAGTGTTTCGATGTGTATACTGAGTGCCGCCAGCCAGTATGCTCGCTAAGATCAGGGAAATGGCCACATACCCGGGTCATGTTGAAATACAAATCTAATGCTTATTCTTGCCACAGGAAACAGCTTAAAGCACAGATCACAAGTAGTTGTTTCCTGGACAAGTTGACTTTTGAGGTGTTTCAATTTTTCGTGGTCTGATATATTGGACCACCTTGTTCGCGAGCTACATAAACGACTTAGATAAAAACACATCGAGCCATATTTGTCAAATTTCTGGACGACATAAAGATATTTGGGAAGGTAGCAAGTCAGGACGATATTACAACAATGCAGAAAGACCTGAAGACCTGCATGAGCTGTTTAAATGGTCTCGAGACTGGCAAATGCCCTTTAACAATGAGGAATGCAAGACCCTACATGTAGGATACAACAACCCTAATCTCAACTATTCTAATAATAACACTTTCATGGAAACAGTCAATAAGGAGAAAGATCTTGGCGTTGTGATAGATCATTCACTGAAGACGGGGCAACAAATGGGGCAGCAGTGAGAAAAGTAAACCGAGATTTGGGAATAATTAAAAAGCGTACGAATACAAAGACAGAAAAATACTCCCTGAACTGTACTCATCTCACGTTCGTCCCAGTCTGGATAACTATATACAGACTTGGAAACTTTACCTCCAGACGAACCGAACTTCCCTAGAAAAAGTGAAACACACAGCGACCAAGTTGGGGTACCGCAGGGTAGTGTATTGGGCCCGCTGTAGTTTGTTTGTTTCATAAATGACATGCCTGACGTTGTACACTCCTCCATACAAATGTTTGCCGATGATGGCAAGTTATTTCGGGAAATTAAGAACCAAGCGGACTGTGAAGAGCTGCAGAAGGACCTCTGTGGGCTCCAGGAATGGTCGAAGAAATGGCTGCTGAGATTCAATGTCACGAAGTGTAAGAGGATGCACCTGGGGCGTACCAACGGTAAGGAGGCGTATCATATGTCCCAACGGGATGAAGAAAATGCACTAGTTGAGACTGTGTGTGAGAAGGACCTAGGTGTGTATGTTGACAATGAGCTGAAGTTCTCGGGCCATTGTGAGAAGAAGGTAAATCAGGCAAATAAATTATTGGGTCTTATAAGAAGGTCGTTCAGATATCTAGACGGTCCGTCCCTCGTGACGATCTTCAGGAGTGAAGTGCTTCCCCATCTGGAGTACTGTCACCCCATCTGGTCCCCGAGATATGCTAGGGACTGTCAGTTGGTTGAAAATGTTCAAAGGAGGGCCACCAAACTGGTGCCTGCACTTCGGCACCTCAGCTACCCTGAGAGATTGGAGCGCCTGAACTTGCCTAGCTTATACTACAGACGGGCAAGGGGGGACCTAGTTGAGGTGTATAAGCATCTCAGGGGGCACTACTCAGTTGAGTGTCCTTACTTGGAGCTGGCGGACGCTCGCCCCACAAGGGGTCACAGCTCAAGATTGAAGAAGCCGCAAGTCCAGAAAACCGTGAGGGCAAACTTTTTCGGAGTGAGGGTTGTAAACTCTTGGAACAATCTACCAGAGAGTGTTGTGACGGCACCGAGTGTGAGCTCTTTCAAGAGAAGACTTGACCAACACTGGAGCGGGTTCAGGTACATTCAGGAGCCGGTGCATGCCCAGTATTTGCCAACAGTGCGTGACAGAGACGTGACCGATCGCCCGGGCGGCTAGCGAGCCGATCTTTTGGTGAAGAATATAAATGAAAAGAGACGTGACCGATCGCCCAAGCGGCTAACAAGCCGATCAGTGAAGAGATAAGTAAAAGTAAAAAGTAAGATAATTCTATATCATCTCGATTATCCAAGTAGACTGATGGCCGAAGGACTAACAGCCCTTCAGACAAGGCACAATAGAGCAGATATCATGGAAATACCCAAAATCCTGAAAGGGATGGAAAACATGAACCCAGGACATTTCTTTGTGATGTCACGCACCTCCAACACGAGGGGACATAACTATAAGCTCGCCAAGTTATTATGGAGAACGAATATAAGGAAATACTTCTTCACATAGCCTTTGACAAAATTATCAACAACAATGGAGGGATCCTATATAGGCCTTTCCTCGGCATGGTCATCTCTAGTGGGTGGACATTAGGTAATTATGGTAAATATCTTTGTATAATTTTCATGCAATAGCAGTATATTATATTTTTTAAGTTACCTTTAAATATAAAGTTTTCTTTAGAAATATTTTTAGTATAAGAAAATGATACTTTTGGCATAACTAATGTAATAATTTCTTTCTCAATAATAGGCTAAGCCGATCAGTGATAAATATACTACAGTGTTTTAATATATATATATATATATATATATATATATATATATATATATATATATATATATATATATATATATATATATATATAGTATATATATAAACACACCCAATCCTCGACCCACATGTATAAACTGGAATCCTAAAAAAAAAAGTTAACACTTAGTATATGATATCCCTATATGATCCTAAACAATAACACGTTTTACGTGTTTTAACACAATATTTTTCCCTTTTCTTCAAAGCCCATTTTTCTTTGTGGAGTATTGATATTGAAGGAGAAGAAATGGGACATAACTCAAAAACGAAACTTTTGCAAAGAAACGGTAATCACCAGTGAGCAGAGCGTAGAAAACACCCCTAGAAAAAACATGTGTGTGTGTGTGTGTGTGTGTGTGTGTGTGAAAAAGTACTAAATCTTTTTATTCAATTGAAGTACAAGTAAACTGACAAAAGTGCTTCTCTAAAATTATATTTAAATTAAGAGTAAAAATGTATCTAGTCTAAAACATACTCAAGTAATAAAGGTTCAGTACTTACAGTATATAAGTAATATGAGGAATATTTTTGTTTACCAAGTAAGGTTATGATGTGATCCCATACGGTTGTTAGGGATACACTATATATATTTTTGTGTTTCGTGAAGAGCTCTAGATTATTAACCAATACATGCCACTGTTTTTGTTCTTTTACGGGGATTAGCCCACCCGGGCACAGGTCACTGACCCACATTGGGGCCTGGGGGCGAAAATATAAATAATAATAATAATAATAATAATAATAATATTTAAGAAAAACAAATTACAGTAATAATATAAAATGAAAATAAAATAATAATTATAATAATAATAATAATAATAATAATAATAATAATAAAGACCATAAATAAATACAAAAATTAAAAATAAATAAATCAAGAGTGAGAAACGACAGTGTGTATGTTCTGTTGTCAATAGTAAGAGAAACAATTGGGACCCTGCAATTGTGTGTAAATGAGGCAGAAAGTCAAATGAGCAACCTGGGACTTGGTCACAATTTTCGTGATGCCATATGGCAGCAGGGTCTAGCATTAGACAACACATTATGCTGCCAATATCTTCCCAGGCGGTAGTACCTCCTTGTTTGATAGCTGTCTACTACCTACTACCTTAATTTAGGTATACCTTTACCGTGTTATACAATATAAAAGGAACACTGGACCAAGAAATCTGAACAACACTCATGAGTCGGTAGCACTGCTTTCTAGTTGCGAAGGCTGTCAAACCCAGTGCTGAAATTTTTGTTGTTGACTGCACATGTTATATTCAATATTTTTTTTTTCAGAATCAAATTGAATAAGTTTTAGGTATTGTGATATATCCCCTCAAGCCCATGCTGAATAAGGGATGATATTTTATTTTTCATTTATGTCACCAAGCCTGAAAGAAAGTTATTAAAGTTATGATAAAAAATTGAAGTTGTTCATTTATCTCTAAATTTTGGTTAAATACTGTGAACTACTGTATTCTTGTATTTTTATTGTTATTATTTCTAATTAATTTACACATTTTTCTTTTATTAGATTAATTATTTTGTTCAATAATTACTTTCTTCTTTAATGTAATTAGTATCATATTTAAAAAGAACCCTGTTAATGCCAATCTAATATTCACAATGATATATTTTTCAATAGGTAGCACTTAATGTCACCATAATAAATAAACAAACTATCGATTTTAACCTAAAACGTGGAATTTATATTTTATTGTTTATCTCAAATTCTGGCGTTCCTTACTGAGGCATATTGTCCTTATGTTGAGATTTACCTTTGTGTTTATCTTAACAATCTGAAGGTGCCTATTGTCCAGGGTCCAGTGGATCATAGACGGAGGCTCATATCCCTACACCGCGGGAGGGGAGTTAGTACATTTTCATTATGAGATGGTCTATTGAGATGGTTTGAACGTGACTAAAATCTATTCCAGAGATAAGACACACTGAACATCCAGGCTGACCCAGATGCCAGTCTTCAAACAAAACACGACAGGGTGACTTGAATGTAAATGGTGAAACCTGAACTCGAAAAACAAAAACACAAACAAGGAGCGATGCTTCTTCTCTGAAACAGTGATAGAGCTGCTGAACACTAATGGCTAAAGTTGCAGAGTCAGCCACTTAGGCAGGGCTATCAAGAACAAGGAGTGGATGTGATTGTACAGTAGAGCAGAGAATTATATTAACATGCATACACATGGAGGCATAACTCAAAGCAACGTTTGTTTAAATATTTATATAAAGAGGAATATATTGTAAACCAACTATATACAACATAATA